AGAAAAACAAAACTTATCCGCCATTTGTATTTCTCATTCATTACTTTTCTTTACTTTGTATTTTACTATTCTCGTAATAATAGATCATCGATAAATCATCGATATTATAAATTATTATTGTAAAATCATTATAATCCATCCTCGATACGAGCATGGGGTGGTTGGTAATACATAAAACATGGTGGTGTGTTGTGTGCAGGTGAAAAGTTTAATTTTTAGGAAAAACAAAATTAAAAAAAAAAATGAATAAATAAATAAAAGGGGTAAGAAAATCCAACAACTTAAAGTATATACATACATATATAAATATGTATAATGTTTGTGTGTGTGTATGTGTATATATATAAAGTTATTATATACATGGTACGCTTAAAATTTGTAAAAGAGTGGCAGCAGAGATGATAAAATCTGTAATAAGAGCTCGGCGAGATATTTTTTTTTTCTTTCTTTCTTTCTTTTCATCTTTTTTTTTTTTATACACATTATTTACTTTGCGATTTAAAAAAACACGTACATAAGACATATACATATGTATAACGTTATTTAATCTTTCTCTCTCTCTCTCTCTCTCTCTCTCTCAAACTTCTCATTTTTAATTGCGAATATACACACATACTCACATACATACATACATCATACATACATACATACATACATACATACATACATACATAAATATACACATACGTGTTGATAATTAAATTTTCACAAAAAAAAGTTCAACATAACCTTAATTTATATTTTTACATTAACAAATTATTGTTTTGTTAATAAAACGTAAAATAATATTTATTAAATTTTTAAAGATTAATTTCGCTGTATAAATTATCAACACACGTATATGTATTATATACACATTGTATAATATCACCATGATATTTTTTTAGGTTATTCTCTCTCTCTCTATCTCTCTCTCTCTCTCTATCTCTCTCTCTCTCTCGCTCTTTTATAATTTGCAAATTTTTATTTACCATTTTTTTAATTATTTTTTTTTTTTAATAATAATAATAATTGCGTGCACTGAGAGTACATACATATGTATATGTAATACGCATAATTTCAATATGATCATTATTAGAATTTTTTCATCCTTCTTTCACATCCTTAAATCATCCCCCATTTTTTTTTTTTTAATCCCCCTCTCCCGTCATTTTATTCGACGATAATTAAAACAAGAATAATTGCAATAATTTATAATAATAATAATAATAATAATAATATTAATAATAATAATAATAATAGTAATAGTAATAGTAATAATAATAATAATAATATTCGTTCATTATTCATTATTATTATTATTATCGTTAAGTTGATAATAACAATTTCGTGATAATATATAAATATAAGAATAATTATTATTAACTATATATATATATAGAATATTGTTTAATAATATTAGCTATTTTTTTTTTTATTCTTGCGTTAATATCAAATTTTTACTTTTTTTTTTTTTTTTAATTTATATTTGTCTTTGTTTTTTCGTTTCCATTTTGCCATTTTACTTTTTGTTTTTCTCCCCCCTTCCCCCTTCCCCCTTCCTTTCTTTTCTTTTCTTTTCCCACAACTCCGTCATTTTTCAAAATGAATTTGTTTTTTTTTTTTTTTTTTAGGTTAGAACAGATACCGTGTTTTGTTTTGTTTTGTTTTATTTAGAAAAGAAACCGACAAGTATGTTCATCATCTTCGCAAAAGATCTCAATTTTTTTGGTTATTATTTTATTTTATTTGGTTTTTGGTTTTTTTTTGTCTTATTATTTCTCATCCCTTTTGATTTTTTTCTTTTTTCCTTTTGTTCAACAACCCCTTTGATTAATTTTTTTTTTATTGAAATATTCGTGGCAAATGCGCATGTCTTTTTCTAAATAAATTTAATTACATATTATACGTGATATTATTTTTGTGTGTGTGTGTTTTTTTTTCTTTTTCTTTTTTTTTACTCATCGACGTTTGTATTTTTAATTTTTAATTTTTAATTTTTAATTTTTAATTTTTAATTTAATTTTAATATTGCGAAGCGTCGCATGCTTCCTCTCAAGGTCGCCTATGTAAGCGTTACAAAAAGAAGGGTGTGCTCTCTCAGTCGTCGTTTTATTTTTTAATTTTTTTTTTTTTAATACTTTTTTAGTTTTTTTTTTTTATTTATTTATTTATTTACTTTTCTCTTTTCTTTTCTATTTTTTTTTTTTTTTTTTACATTTGTATCTGTGTATTTTGTTTTAAATTCAATGTTTTTTTCATTTTAATTATTTTGTTTATTCGATTTATTTTATCAGCGTATTTTCATGTATTTTTTTATTCAATTTTTTCTTCTCTCTCTCTCTCTCTTTCTCTCTCTTTCTCTTTCTCATAAATTTTTTCGTAAATTTGTGAATTTGTTTTCTACTAGCATTTATTTATTTATTTATTTTTTTTTATTATTTTTTATTTTTTTTATTTTGTTTCACTGAAAGACTATGTCCAAAACATGCAATCGTTTTTAACCCCCCCCCCGCCCCCAAAAAAACCCTTCTGTCCCTTTTTCTCATCCCCCCTTTTCTCCTCTTTCGTATTTTTCTTCTTTTGTTCATTTGTTTTTTTATGTGATTTATTTTTAACATATGGTTTTTTTTTTACTTTCATTCTTTTCTTCAACCTTTCACACGTTTTTTAACTTTCCATTTCGAGTTTTCTTTCTCTTTCATCTTCATCTTCATTCCTCATCTTCATCTTCATCTTCATCTTCACCTTCAACCTTTTCATTTTCATCGTCATGTTTTTCTTTGTTTCTTTTTTTTCTTCGCATTTCTGTATTCAATTTTTTATTTATAATATTTAATGTTTTTTTTCCTTTTTACCGTATTTTTTTTTTATTACTATCATTATTATTATTATTATTATTATTATTATTATTATTATTATTATTATTATTATCATTAGAATTATCATTAGAATTATCATTAGAATTATTATTATTATTATTATTATTATAATTATCATTAATATTATTATTATTAGAATTATAATAATTATTATTTAAAATGTTTTCTTTTTTGGTATTTCAAGCGCGTGTATATATGTGTGTGTGTGTGTTTATTTAATTTTTTTTTTTTTTTTAATAGCGTATACGCATGTGTGACGTGTAATCTACACGGAAAAAAAAGAAAAATCGTCCGCAGGTGAAGTGAATAAAAAAAAAATGGTGTTCGCCCGGTCCGATTCTAGTGTCCGTCTCGGCAGCTGTGTCGCTTTGTTTAAAAAAAAACAACAACAAAAAGTATAAACAAAAAATCAACAAAAACAAAATAAATCATTTTCTAAAAGGGGTTGTTCTCACTCGTGGTGGGGTAAACTTTTCTTTATTTTTTTGTTTCTCTTTCTTTCTCTCAGGGGAAACACATTTCTCTCAAAAATCTGTGAAAAATAAAAGAAGAAAGAAAAAAACAAATCTAAAAAA